GTTCCAACAGCCATGAATACAGCTGAAGCTTGGTCAGGCATCAGACACGAGGCCATAAACTGCATCCTGGTCACCCTGACTTTTGTCTTGCTCCTGGACTTTGATGACTCAGGAAGAGAGAATGAGGCTTGAGACCTTGAGAAATTCTGCCTCACTTAAATCGAGTTCATGCACAAGTTAAGACATCAACCATGATGTCACTGGTCCTCTTTGAAAACAAAGGACCAACAAAAACAACAACATTCTATCCCCCTGTCCCTTACAAAGCAGCAGCCATCTCTAGTCAGACAGATCCCCAACCTGCTCTATCCAAAGCCTTGGCCACACTCACAACCTGAGTCATAGTTAGCTGGATAGGAACTGATGGCTCAAAGGCTGATTAGTTGGATTAACTTCATTAGAAGCTGTGGGGGCGGGGGTGGGGTGGGGAGCAGAGCAGCTGTGCCTGGGCCACAGGATCGGGTGGACATTCGAGGCTCTGTGGAGAGACAGGCCATTTGTAAAAACCATGGGAACAGGCTTCCACATGTGCTATTAACTGCCTCAGAAACAGTAGGTGTGGCCACTTTCCTCTCTCTCTCTCTCTCTTTTAGTTTTAATTGATTAAATCCAGGCATCCTCAAATGCTTGGGAAATGATGGCCCTGTGCCAGTTTTAAAGCTACTATCAAGAGCCAAAGAGATTCTGGTTACTAAAATGACCAGGAAAGCTTAATGCTTCCAAGAAAAAAGCCTCCCACCCCACCAATGCAGCAATTGTTTAAGGCACTCAGTGGCGGACCCCAGCCAGAGCAAAAATCACAGCCCATTCAGTTTTCTCTTCAGCCTGTTCCTATGGCTACCAACAGACAAATCCAGAGAAAATAGATGACAAGCATGTTATTGTTCCCAAAAGGGAAACTGAGGCAGCTGGCAAGAAGAGGCATGCCTGACTCCATATGAGGAGAGACAGGCAGAAGAAAGAATATGGGCTCCCAGTTCTTGCGGCTTCCATGAGATGCGAAGGAAAGACTGTTGAACTTGGAATTCTAGGCCCTGAGTTCAGATCTTAGCTCTGCCACCTAACTACCCATGTGACCTAGGGCAAGACACAGAATCTCTCTGGGCCTCAGTGTCCTCATCTGTAATACAGAGGAAGGAATGACCAGATGCTCTTTAAGGTCCCTCCCAGCTCAGAAAGCCTCCTCTGATTCATCTCTGACCTAGTCTATGTCAGTTTTCTCTTCATCATCTTCCCTCCTAAAACCTCTCTTTCTCCGTTCTCCCATGTTCACAACCTTCAGGTGCTAGTCACTAGGTCAGATATAACTCCATTCCCAATGGCTTTTTGTGATCACTGCTCCCTTTTCTAGATATCCATTAACCAACCTTCTAATAATTTGCTGGGCATTGAAGTTAAGCTTATGGGTGTATAGTCTGTAGCTTGTTTTATTCCCCCCCACATTTTTTTTTTGACAATCAGACAACATCTGCCTTTCTCTGATCCTTTCAGTAACTCTCCCAATCTTCCAGTCTTTCAAGGAGAACTGACGGTGGTTCACCAATCATATTTGCCAATTTTCTCCAGTACCCTAGATTCATCTAGTTCTGTAGACTTGAACTCATCACAGGCAGCTAAGATGCCAAGTTCAGCATTCTTTCCCCTGCATGACATAGAAACCCCACTTAGCACAGTGCTTGGCACCTAGTAGGTGATCAATAAATGCTAATTGATTGACTGACTGATTGACTGACTCTACTTTCACCTCCCTATATGGAATGAGCCATACCACTTCTTGCCAGCTACCTTGGTTTCCCCATTGGGTAGCAACCACTGGCCAGACCTCATGCTTGCCCTTCTATTTTGGGGGGCTTTGTCTATGGGAGCCATAGGAACAGACTGAAAGAGAAAACCAAATGGGTTGTGGATGAGATATGTTGAGGTCTGCCAATAAGCAATTTAAATAGTTGCTCTGGTAGGGGTGGGAGGCTTTTTTTTCTTGGAAGCATGAATCTTTCCTGGTCATTTCAATAACAGAATCTCTTACTATCCAGAACTACCTTTCTGCTTATTTTGAGTGTTCATTCCCGATGAACCACTTTGCTCTGCTCTTTCCAGTATAAGGAAAGACAATAACAGAAGCAGAAGAAAAGCCAGACAGTCTCACCTCCTCTTCAAATTCTTTTCTGTCATAAGCAGTAGTATTTCTTTGATTTCTCTTTCCCCTAATAGAGTTAAAAAAAAGATACTTTAAAAAAAATCATCTTTAGCAACTTCACTGGCCTCAGTTCATTCTAAGTTTATGACTTCAATCAATCAACATTTATTAAGTGCCTACTATGTTCCAGGCACTGTGCCAAGTGCAGTACTTCTCTCCTCACTCTTACAAGCCAATGCCAAGTATTTCTGGGCTGTGGCTTAAATATAGAAAGTAAAAAAACAAAACCCCAAACCTCCAACTCAAGGATGGAGTAATCCCGAAGGTACTTTGTGTATTCTAGGCTGTGGCCTAGATCTACTCATTGGTGGAGATCAATGCCTTGCACCTACATGAGAAGCAGGACAAAGTTGGTGGGAGGAGGGGAGAAAGGAGATCTCTGGGCTCTTCAATCTCTTTAGCTGTTCTGGGCTCTGCAGCTACTTTTGGTTTCCAGCGTCAAGAGAGAGGATGGAAGATGCCAACTCCACTTCAGGTTGCTGAAGGAAAAGGCTTCAGGAAGAAGGCGATGTGAGAGGAGCTGGCTGCCTCTATCATGTCCCTGGCCCCAGCTTCCTACATGGGAGATTTCAGGGAACTTTCCCTTGGGTGTGATCTGGGAATCTCTCTCTTGGTTGAGCTGAAATTCTTTGCTCCCAATGGAAGAGCTCCTTTCACTCTGTACTGTCTGGTATGTATTCTCCCATAGATATTTTCCTTTGACTCCTATTTTGCCACCAAATTGAATAAATGGGTTTCTTTACTAAGTGTTATATGTGTTCACTGAGGACCGGATATTCAATGGGAAAGGGGTCAAGCCTTACATATAAAGGTTGGGGTCCTGTTTCCCCCATTAATGAAACAATGATCAGAAGTTACTTTGAATCTGATCACATCACCTAGATTAATAATACTTAAGGGATTAGATGGGTATAATTTTAGCCCAGTACTTCCTCTCCCTGAGGAGAACAGAGTGGCCAAACCATCTGGCCTCAACCCTTCTGCTTCCCCACCTGGCAGGAATTAAAGTCTCCCTTGGAGAAGGGTGGTAAGAAGAGGCTAGAGACGTCTATTCCGCCTCCCTTCGAGCGACACAAAGACATCCTATGATACGCGTGGGGAACAGCCCTCACCAAATGGATACATGTATACATACATACATACATATATATATATGTACACACATATGTTTATGGCACAGTGGACCTGGAATCAGGAAGACCCAAGTTCAAATCTACCTCAAACACTAGCTACGTAACCCTGGGTAAGTCACTTGATCATGTTTTCCTCTGTTTCCTCATCTGTAAAATGAGCTGGAGAAGGAAATGACAAACCACTCCAGTATCTTTGCCAAGAAAACCCGAAATGGGGTCATGAAAAGTTGGACATGACTGAAATGACTGAACAACAACAAAATACATACATATGCCTATTTCATATAAAAGAAAGTTTCAACGAAGAAAAATAGCAGCAGAGATGCTCAGAATTTCACAGAAGACAAAATCCAAAAATAGTAGCTAGCAATAAAACCTTCAGTGCAAGGAGGCAAATTTGCCACCATAGGCTTCACAGAGATTGGGTAGGATAGAACCTGTACTTGGAATATAGCTTTGGAAGCTAGGGATCCCTTAAAGGAACAGGGGATGTAAAAATGGGGTTGGTAAAATTCCAGAGGAGTTATGCTCATATGAGGAGACCTAGGAACCAGAGAGACAAACATAGGGGAAAGCATTGGGTAAAGATCAACACAGATAGAAACAGAAATGGTGTTGACATTAGAGCGAGTATACCATGGACAGGGGTGTGCTGGAGCCAGCTCATACCAGCTTGCAAGAATCAACTGTTAAATGATCAGTGTGAGCATGTATGTCTCAGGAAATTGGCAAATACTAGGAATCAGGGTTTGATTTATTACTCTGTCGATTGTCTAGACTTAAGAAAGTGATGGGGAAAATATTAACAATGTAGATTAAGTTCAAAAAGTATATCATGCATATTTTTAAGAGCTGGTTGTTAAACATTTAACCATTTACCCCTGATTATAGACCTCCTGGACAAAAAGAGGAAAGAGATGATGTAATCAGGAAACAGATCACAAGCCCAATTCTGACATATGGAACATAAGCATGATAGAGCAGTTATGGAAGATTTTAATTACCCACATCTGTCAAAGGCAAAACAGCTAATAATTTCTTAATGATAATTTGAGCCTTCACAAAGTAGAGAAACCAACAAGGGGAAATTCTGCACTGGACTTGATTCTGACCAACAAGGAAAGTACGGTTGCTATAATAGAAATGATAGGAATTTTGTGGGGAAATGACCACTCCATCATAGAATTTTTGATAGAGGAGAATTCAGCTGGTAATAATCTAACATGCACCCTAGATTTTGAAAGAACAGATTTCAGAGGGCTCTAAGAAAGGAGAGGTACGATACTATGGACCAAAGCCTCAAGGGGAAGTCAGCTCAGAGTGGAGGGTCTCAAGAATTAAACCCTGAAGGCACCAAGAGAAGTGAATCTGATGAGGAGGAAAAGTGAATTAGCTAAAGGGACTGATGTGGATGCAGAGGAAACTCACTAACCACCTTAGATTTTATGAAGACCTGTATGGAAGATGAAAGCAAGGGCAGGGAATGGAGGATCAATGCAAAACTGGGGTACAATCCAGTTAAGAGGATTAAAGAAGACCCTGACCTTGGCATGGGAACCCTGGGACAGGCTAGCCACCTGATCTTCCCACCAAACCCACTGAGAGCCTTGATAGAAAACACAGACGTGAAGAAGTTTCCAAGGAAGGGGATTCCGACACGTCCAACTTACTGTGGGGTTTGCTGTGTTTCCACACTCCGATACGTTGGAGACACAGGTATGCTGCTGAGTGCACCAGAAACAGGGCCATCGGGTGGACAGACAGCTGGTGCATCTGAAAAACATAACAAAGGTGGGGCCATTTAACATCCACAGTGCTCCTCCAAATGCCTCCCTATGTCCACTGCTCCCCAACACGGACCTTCCGTTTCTGCTCACCCAGTCTCCTTCACCGTCTGCTGGACATGACACCTTTATACCCACTTCAGGGCCTTTGCTTGGGCTATTCTCCTCATCTGGAATCCCATTTCTCTTCAATAATTCAAATCTACTCAGTCTTCATGACCCAGATCTGTTGTCACCTTTGAGAAAGAAGCCTTCCCTGACCAACTGAGCCCACACTGAGCTCTTTCCTGACAGAATTACCTATCAGGCACTTAGCTTATTTTATCTAACATTCAATCCCATTCAGTTTCATCTAATAAGCCCCCACTGTGCTAAGCTCTGGAGATGCAAAGACAAAAACAAAACCTGAAACAGGACCTGCCCTCAAGGAGTTTACATTCTACTTGTACTATTGGTTATCTTTTCACGTGTTTAGGCCTTGTTGCTCCAACTAGGCTGTGAGCTCTTGTCTTACATAACCCTTCCATAACAGGAGCTGGCATAGAATTAGGCCCACGGTAGATGCTCAAAAATACTCATGATCCTTGAATGTTGGAAATGGAAGATTCCATAGACCAGAGGATGTTGGAATATATACAAATGAATGATTCTTGGTGGGCAGATTGAATGAATATAGAATGACACAGCTCAGAGGAAACTTGGAACACAAAATATTAGAATACAAGACACATCAAGGATGGGAAGGACCTTAGAAAACAGAAGGGCAGAAAGGGAAGAGGAGTTAGAACACAGGACATGAGAGGTAAAGGGTCTTAGAACATAAAACATCAGAGGGTAAAGAGTATTTAGAACAGAACATTTGAGTGTGAAGGGAATGTCAAACTTAAGCCTTCAGAAACAGAAGGTGCCTTAAAGATCAGTCAGCTAGTCCTATTTCTTATTTTCTATGAGATCTAGAAAAGGAAAGTGGCTTTCTTAATTAAGGTCACAGAGCAAGTTAGTTGGAGAGATGGAAGAAAAGCCCAGGTTTCCTGACTCCTAGAGAAGGGCTCTTCCCATCACACCATGCTGGGTGAATTAAACCAGATTCACAAGCCCTGCTGATTCTGGCTTTTGACTTAGGGTCCAACACTGCTTCTGGACTTGTGGGATTAGCCTCGTGCACAGGTCTTGAGGTCTGGGGTTTCGGGTCTCCTCTCCCTTGCCCATCCCCTCTGGATGTCTCTCCAGGCATGGAGGCTGGCCCTCAGCCTGACCCACAGCTACCAGGTCTGGTCTTCATTTAGAACCAGAGACAGGTCTGGGGAAAGATAAACCAAGAGAATAAGACCTAGCCCGGAGTTAAAATGGACTTTAACAGTCTTCCCATTCAGCCCTCTTATTTTACAGATGAGAAAACTGAGGCTCAGAGGTGGCCAAGGTTACAGAAATAGTAAGTGATACAGCCAGCATTTGAACCCAGGACCTGTGATTCCACATTCAATGCTCTTTCCATGGCATTATCAGCAGTGCTGAACCCTCCCAAGGGATTCTGAGACATGATAGCTGTCATACATGTTGTGTATGAATACATGTCTGTGAAGAATCAGGCTCAAATATTGGGGGCCAAGGACTGAGATTGCCCACATGCATCTGGTTTGACTCACCTCTCCATCCTTGACTCACACATAACCTGCTGACTGTGCCAGAGGCAGGGGCTATCATAGGTCCCTGGGGAACTTTTTCTGAGCAAACAACTAATATTGCTTTTGAAGAGAAAGCACTGTGACATAGTGGGAAAAGCACTCACTTTGGAATTGAATGACCTGGGTTCATATCGCAGTTTTGTCACTGACCAGATATGACCTAGGACAAGTCATTTCACTTCTATAAACCTGAGTTTCCTCAAAATGAAAAGTTTGGACAAGATGACATTGAGATCCAACTCAGAAACCCTATGACATTCATTTCTAACAAGTCAGAGAAGGGGAAAAAAGTTTAATCCCTGGGAAACTCAGGGAAACTCAGTGACTACCACTCCTGCTCCCTCCAACCCCATTCCTTGCCTTCAAAGAGTTTACATTCTATTGGTATTGTTGGTCTGTCTTTTCACGTGCTTATACTGTCTTTAACTAGACCAGGGGTTCTCAACCTTTTATTGAGAGTCATGGGCCCCTTGGGCAGTCTGGTGAAGCTTATGGACCCTTTCCCAGAATACTATTTTTAAATGCACAAAATAAAGTATATAGGATTATCATGGAAATCAGTTATATTGGAATACAGTTACCAAACTTAAAAAAAAAGTTCATAGACCCCAGGCTAAGAACCCCAGACCTATACTGGGAGCTCTGTGAGGGTATGATTCATTTCCTGTACCCTTCTGGGCTATTAGAAGGACTCAAAAACACTAAGAATCCTTGAATGTCAGAATCTTTCCTAGGCTCCTCGGGCTCTGCTCTCTTGACCCTCAGAGGACAATCTCTCTCGCTCCTTGCTGGAAATTTCCACTGAGAGCCTCAATTTTCCCATCCAGTCTCACAGTAATAATAGGCTTTGAAAACCCACTAATCTGCTTCATTTTGGACAGCTAGGCAGCCAGAGACCCAGAGTGAGAACCTGTGCACAATCAGAGAGCTAGAGAATCAAAGAAATCATAGGACTTGAGAGCCAGAAGGAATCATTTAATAGATGAGGACATTGAGGCCCAGAGACAGGATGGCATTTGCTCAGGGTCTCACAGTGAACAAGGGACAGAGCTGGGATTCAGACATGAGTCTTCTCACTGAGCACCAAGTTCTTCCTCTAAATGCAGACTTCTAAGGATCCTGGGGAGGCTGCCAAACCCCATCCTGGAGCAAGGACTGTGTCTTTTTGCTTGTGTTTGTACCCCCTAGGACTTAGGACAGTGCCTGGCACACAGTAAGCACTTAAAAAATGCTTATTAACTTGACTTGATTGCCGATGTGAGGTGAGAGGTCAAGCTACAGGATTGCCCTTCAAGCTATATTTGGAGAAGCCAGATGTAGTCAGGACCACTGAGGACCTCTGAACCCCAAACTAGCTTAGGAACTTAAGTAGGGGGGGACCACTTACTTCACCTCTTTCCAAGACCTCAATGCTGCTTTAACAGAAAAAAAGAAAAGCAAAGAAGAAAAGCAAGGCTAGTTTGGGGAGGGTGAGCTGAGATGCCAGGGGGCTCAAGAAGTTTCCCACAGACCAACATCCTTTGTGGTTTAGGACTTGAGGAAGCAGGATCCCAGATGGGCGTCCTAGAAAGCCAAAATCTCATCTACTTTTTATGTTAGGGAAGCATGGTACCTGGCAGCTCTCCTTCTTAGACAATCTCTAGGCTTTGGGGGGCTTTCCTGCCTTATTAACTGGAAACTTTTCTCCAGCTGCCCTTCCCCAAACACAAGTCACCCAGTTCCAGAGGGGATGCTTATTAGGTCCTGATCTACCACTTCATTCACTTATTGGAAAATGACCGGGTAAGACCAAGCTACATGAGGAATGGTTGAAAGACCTGGGGATGTCGAGACTAGAAACAACAATAGTTAGCATTTACACAGTGCTCTGTTTATGAGTATTTCTCTACATTATCTCATTTGATGCTCACAACAATCCTATCAGGTAGGTGTTATTATTACCATCCCCATTTTACAGGTGAGGAAACTGAGGCTTTGAGAAGCTAAATGACTTGCCCAGGGTCATACAGCTAATAAACATCTGGGGCAGGATTGGAATTCAGGTCTTCTTGTATCTAAGGCCTGAACTCTAGCCATTGTGTCCCTAGCTGCCTAGAAAAAAAGACTTGCTTGACTATCCTCATTTCTTATAAGAGATGGTTACGTGGTCCAGTGGGTAGAGAGCCAGGACTGAAGTCAGGGAGACTCATCTTCCTGATGATAGAATCTGAATATGGCCTCAGATACTTAGTAGCTGTGTGACCCTGGGCAAGTCACTTAACCTCTACGTGCCTCAGTTTCTAAATCTGTAAAATGATCTGGAGAAGAAAATGGCAAACCACTCCAGTATCATTGCCAAGAAAACCCCAAATGAGGTCATAAAGAATCAGACACAACTGAAATAACTGAACAAGGTGGTAGAGGGCCTAGAGAGCTGGTCCTGGAGTCAGGAAGACTCAAGTTAAAATCCTGGCTCAGATACTTACTGTGTAGCCCTAGGCAAATCACTTAACTTTCTGTCTCCGGGAACATTTGTAAGATAAAGGGGTGGATTCAGTGGTCCCTTCTATTCTAAATATATGATTCTGCAGGAAGTTTGGGGAGGGGAAGAGAGGAGAGCATGGTAGTAATGCCCTCCTTCCCCACCAAAAAAAGGAAGAGAAGGAGGAGGAAGAGGAAGAGGAGGAGGAGGAGGAGGAGGAGAAGGAGGAGGAGGAGGAGGAGGAGGAGGAGGAGGAGGAGGAGGAGGAGAAGAAGAAGAAGAAGAAGAAGAAGAAGAAGAAGAAGGAGAAGAAGAAGAAGAAGAAGAAGAAAAGAAAAAAAAGGATGATCAAATATAACAGAAGAGAGCAGGAGTTAGGAAAGAGACACAAACAAGCAGGGCTATTTTGTTACTCCTACATTGAGGTTAATATACACTTACATAGTACATGTAACAAGCTCACAGTTTCATACAATCCTCCCTTCTGTTCTCTATATATTGAAATGTTTACGTTTGGTAAGTTAATAATAAAAAGGAAAATTTAAAGAAATTAAAGAATTTAAAGAAAAGAAAATTTAAAGAAAATAATTTAAGAAACAAAGAAAAATGTAATTTAGAGAAAAGAATTTAATTTAAACAAAAATTTTAAAGAAAATAATTCAATTTAATGAAAAAGGAAACTTAAAATAATTTAAGAAAACTTAAAGAAAACATAACTTAAAGAAAATAATTTCAGAAAACTTAAAGAAAAATGTAATTTAAAGAAAAGAATTTCATTTAAAGAAAAGAATTTAATTTAATGGAAAAGGAAATTTAAAGAAAAGAAAAGAGAAGATAGGAGAGATATAAACACTGTCTTCTAACACTTGAAGAGGTATAATGTGGACGAAGACACAGACATTTTTTGTGGATCTCCAGGTGCCAGAATTGGGACTTATGAGTGTAGGTAGTTACAGAAGAAAAAGATTCTGAAGTGTGATACAGCGGAAAGAGAGCAGCTTCTGGAGTCCGAGGGCCTGGGTTCGAATCCCAAATCTGAACATCACTACCTGTTGCCTCCATGGGCCAGTGTTGTCAACAGTAGAATGAAGACACAGGCTTAGATGCCCTCTACTCTCCCTTCCAGCTCTCAATCTCTTGTGACCCTAGGCTTTTTCTACCTTGGGAAATATGAAGCTTAGAGATTCCTAGATTGTTCAGAGTAAGAAGGGACCTATGAGATTATATGATGTAACCCCTTCATTTTACAGAGGGGAAAATGGAGAGACAGAGGGTGGGAGACTTACTAAAAGTCACCCAGCTAGAGAGAAGCAGATTTGGAACTGGGGCTGCCTTACCCAGAGTTCTATCCCAACACCATTGCTAGAGGTATTCAAACGAGATTGACAGCACCTTTTCAGGAAGGCTGATTTCCCTTCAGAGTTCAAGATTCTGATTCTACGATTTTCTCCAGGGTCAAAACTGAGATCGTCCAAGTATTTGATCATAATTTAATTCTCTTAATTCAACAAGCACTTAATTAAGTCCCTGCTATAATGTAGGCACGCACACACACAGCAGACATTGTGCCCAGTGCTGGAGCTACAAAGTTAAAAAATAAACAGTTCTTGTCCTCAGGGAGCTTATATTCTACTTGGGATGTGTGTGAGTGTGATATGCTGTAGACACAGAGAAGTAAATATAGGATAAAAGCAAAGTAACCTAGATCTCCTGGTCCTAGCCTAGTCCTAGACTAAAGATGATCTACTCCAGTGCTTTAAGTTTACAAATGAAGTAACTGTGTATCACACTGGATAGAGTACTGGGCCTACAGTCAGGAAGACCTGAGTTCAAATCTCATCTCAAACTAGTGTGCCCTTGGGCAAGTCATTTAACCTCTGCCTCAGTTTTTTCAACTGTGAAATGGGGAAATAATAACATCTATCTCTCAGGGTTGTCATGAAGATAAAATTTGATTATGTTTGTAAAGTGCTTAGCATAGTGCCTTGTATATAGGAGGCATTATATAAATGTTAGCTATTATTATTATTAATTATTATCCATTTAATGTTAACAGGGCTCAAACAAGTTGTGAAAAGTCCCTTTAACAAGCTCAATAATTAACACTGATCACTGATTACTGGGTTGGGTCCTTTTTTCCCCTTAGTCCCATCCCTCAACCAGGAAGTCCCCATGGGGGGGGGGGTGTCACTCACGCTGTATGAGGGTAGACACGTCCTGTGCGGGTACAGTCGTAGATGGTGAAATTGGCCCAGACGATGTTTCTGCCATTGACCTGCACAGCTGTCTGGACGGTCACGTGGTCTAGAATGGAATGGAGGAGAAGAGAGAGAGAGAAAGAAAAGGATGTTTATAAAGAATGAGGAGGATTTGATTCCTGCTTACTCCCCTCCTTGGGGATGGGAGTATGCCTCAGTTTCCCCTGAGAACAGCCCCCTAGGAGTAGGTATGAACATCTCTCTGGCTCCAAAATCTCTCTCCCATCACCTGAAATTCCACTACTGAAACTTTAGTCACGATAATAATAGCTCCCATTTTTTTCCAATCAACAAGCATTTATTAAGCCCCTACTGTATGCCAGACACTATGCTAAAAAGAAGGGGATATAAAGAAGGGTAAAAACAGTCCCTGACCTCAAGGAACTCACAGTCTATTGGGGGAGACAACACATATGTACCTAGGTACAAGATACATACAGGGTAGGTGGGAGGTCGTCTCAGAGGGAAGGGCACTAGCAGCTGGGGGGAGGGGAAAAGTCCTCCTGTAGAAGGTGAGGTTTGAGCATAATATTGAAAAAAGCCAGGGATTCTGGGAGGGGAAGGTGAGGAAGCAGAGTCTTCCTGGCATGGCGACCTCCAGTGCAAAGGGCAAAAGATGGGAGATGGAGGGTTGCATGCAAGGGAGTACAAGCAGACCCGTGGCCAGACCAGTGCCTCTGAGGAGGGGTGTAACAGAAAAGAAGGTTGGCTAGGTGAGGAGGGACTGCAAGTGTCAAATAGAGGGGTCACACTCAGGCCCCCTGGCAAGCGACCCTCCAACTCCTCTCGAGTGCCGGATCAAAAACACAATTTGGAAACGTTCAGCAAAACCGATAAAGATACAATACAACATAGGCAATGTTCATTTGTGGTCTCTGAGCCAATAGGCAGCCTGAGTTTGACACCACTGCTGTGGGTAATAGGGAGCTGTTGAAGTTTATTGAATAGTGAGGATGACATGATCAGACATACATTTTAGGAAAAAATCATTCTGGCATTTCTGTGGAAGATGGATTGGAGAACATGTGCCAATTATGCAGACTTTCAATTTGCTTTTCTCCTCAGAGCCCTCTCAGGTAGGTAGCATGAGAATTTTTAGGACCATTTTAAAGATGAAGAAAATCTGAGGTTCTAAAAGGCTGGGACTTGTCCAAATCCACACTGCCAGTAAGTTCTGGAGCTGAGATTCTATTAAATCCAAGAGTCTTTATTATTAAGCACCCATTATGATGCTGGGGCTAGTTATCCGGGATAAAAAGTCAAAAAGGAAACAGGTCTGGCCTTCCCGGAGCTTACATCATGGGGCCACAAGTTGAAGAGAGATAACTAAATACAAAATAACCCAGATTTCCTGCCTCCAAATACACTCTTTCCACTACATCAGCAACTGGAAGGGACCACAGAGGTGATCCAGGCCAGCATTCTCATTTTACCGATGAGGAAACTAGGGTCGAGAGAATTTAAATAGCTGGCCAAGGGTCAACCAGACAGTGAGTAGCAAAGCCTTTTGGGTTAAGTCAAGAGGTCAAGAGCTCCTGGTTAAAAGGTGAATGTTCCTAGGGGTTGAGCCCTTAGTATTCACTCAACCTTTGGAGTAAATTTAGTTTGGAGAGAGTAACAGGGAGGCAGGAGAGAAAGTTCTGGCATATTGGGCACTGCCAAGGGACAGCCAGCCAAAATGACGTGCGTGGACAGTCGAGTGATAGGAGGTGGGGGAGCAGCACAGAAATGGGAGTCTAGAAAGACCAGAAACAACCATGTAGCCAACCTGAGTATCGTTGGGAATTCCCTAGGACCCCAGTTCACTCCCCCTCCAAACAATATAGCTAGTTAGGAACAGCACCAGACAAGGTGTTAGAAAACTTGGCTTATGATACACTGTATGATTTCCAGAGTGTTCCTTAACCTCTCTGGGCTACAGCCTTGGAGGCTGTTATCTCCCAACTCCTTATTACTTCTCAGAGATGCTGGGAAGATAAATGAGGTCAGGCCAGAAAAAAAAAATTAGTTTCTCAGAAGAAGAGGCTTTATCACCAGGAGGAGATAATTACTGCTCTCATTAAGTACTCTTCAGTATTATTTGTTCACCATACAACCACAGAAACCAAGGCCCCCAATTTCCCTCTATGAAATGCTGCCCTGGGTTGGGGGAGAGAGTGAGATGGGTTTGCTTCCCGTATCTCTTTGGATTCATAGGCAAAAACAAAAACAAGTTGTATACTACCCATGTGATCACACAAAAACCCAAACACACACATGTGCATACACAGGTACATATACAGAGAGACCCCAATATACACTCATACACAAATAGAGACATAACCCAGTACACAAACAGAAGCACATGTACAGCAACAAGGGTGGAATGGGGTTGGGAGAGAAACCCCAGAAAGTCCAATCTGTCAGTCTGGGCCAGAGAAACTGGAGGCCCCCAATTCACAAGGGTTTAATGGGTCCCCTCAGCAACCAGAGCTAGATTGCAAATGTTGCCTGGCAACTCTGAGTAGGATTCAGCTTGTGGGCATGATGCACATTACATTCCTTTGTGTCCTGGGGCCCTGAGGCTGTGTTAAGCTGAACAGGGCTGGGCACTCCCTTCAAGATGCGAAGGGGTTGAGATCCCAGGCTCCTTGCCCCCAGGTAGGGCCCCATAGGCTAACCCTGATACACAGGGCAATGAGAAACTCTTCAATTGTTCTACTGTCTGGCTGACACAATTTACTACTTTAGCCCTTCTCTGATTATTTAAGGTGGATTAGTCTGGTCTCCCCCAGCTACAGCCTGGGTTCCCTGAGGACAGTGCCCATGGGTGCTTAATTCAATTCAATAATGTCTATTAATGTGTGATTGTACATTTTGCTGGGGGAGATGCAAAGTTTAGTTAGTTAAGACTTGGTTCCTGCCGTCATGAAGTTTACAGTCTAGTTAAGGGCTAATATGCACACACTGAAAACTAGTACATAATATGACATGGTAAGTGCAAAACAGAGAGAGATGCAAAACAGAGTACTCTGTAAGGTCTGATGGGGATGATCATTAGCTGGAGAAGGGGGCTGCTGTCCAGGTGGGCTTTCTCAAAGTGTGTTAGATATTGACAGGTGGATAGCAATTTAACAAGTGAAGATAGGGAGAGAAACATTCCAACAGAGGGAAAAGATGGAAAAAAGTAGAGGAGGGGAAAGAAGGAATGAAAGATTTATTCAGGGTGGAGAGGGTAGAGTAGTTTAGAACACAAGAAGAATAAGCATTTATTAAGTACTTACTGTATGCCAGGCACCATGCTAAGTGCTGGCGACACAAAGATAGGCAGAGAGAGTCCCTGGCCTCAAGGAGCTCACACTCTAATGGGAGAGACATCACGAAACTAACTAAGAACATACAAAATACATACAGGGTAGACGGAAGGTAATCTCAGAAGGTTAAACACTAGCAGTTGGGGAGTCCAGGAAAAAAAGGCCCGCTACAGAAAGTGGGATTTGAGCTGGTCTTGAAGGAAACCAGGGAAACTAAGAGGCAGAGCTGACGAGGGAGGGAATCCCCAGGCATGAGGGCCATGCAAAGGCAGGGAGATGGGAGAGGGAGTGGCATGTGGGAAGAATAGCATGCAGTTTGGCAGGATCATAGACAAGGAGGAAGGTAACAGAGTTTATAAGGTTGGAAAGGTGGGATGATGCCATAGTGTGGAGGCCCTCAGATGAACATTCATCAGTAGGCATTAAGAAGCCATTGAAAGACCTAAATCTGATTGCTTACCATCTCAGGGAGTGGGGAAGGGAGTTGGGGAGGGAAGGACAAAATTTGGAACTTAAAACTTAAAAAAAAAACAAATTTTAACAATTGTTTTAACATGTAAAGGGGTAAAATACACACACACACACACACACACACACACACACACACACACACACACACTGATGGTTGCTTGTTCTTTTTGCTCAAAGATGACCAAAATGACATCACTACGGTGGAGTCCAGTTACAGCGTGTCTGACTGTGACTGATCAAACCAACCAATACAAGCTCGGAATGTTCTACCACAGGTCAAGCACAAATGAGTCTATGTGAACATTTCGGTTGGATTCTTTCAATTTGCCCATATCACATTTCTTTTGAGATATTTCAATTCTGCTTTGCTCATAGAGCGCAGCACCTTCTCGGATGCGGGCATGCCATGCTGAGCGGTGCTGTGCCAGTGTCTTCCATGTCACACAACCAGTCCCAAAGTTCTTAAGAGAGACCTTGAGAGTGTCCTTGTATCAGTTCTTCTGACCACCATGTGAACACTTGGCCTGTATGAGTTCTGCATAAAATAGTCTTTTTGGAAAGTATATGTTTGGCACTTGATACAGATACACAGATAGAAAGATAGACAGATAGATCTATCTGTCTGTCTATCTATCTATTTATCTATGTATCTATCTACGAAGCCATTGAAGATATTGGAGCAAAGGAACAACATGTTTACTCTTATAAAAGATGGGTTAGAAGAGGGGAGGGAAGGATAGAAGCGAAAAGACCTAAAGTGATGGCAGCAGGAATAAAGAAGAAAATGGTGATGAAAGATGTTGAAGAAGTGAAATGGATGAGACTTAGTAACTTAATCAATTAACATTTATTAAGCACCTATTGTAAACCAAGCATTTCGCTAAGCACTAGGGATACAAGAAGAGGCAAAAGACAGTCCCTGCCCTCGAGGGGATCTAATGGGGGAGACAACACACAAAAAATTACGTACAAAGATCACTTAGGACAGAGCCCGGCACAGGGCAGACACTTAATAAAATTTGATTGATAAAACCACATACCAGGTAAATAGGAAATAATTAAGAGAAGAAAAGACTCTAGAATTTAGAGGGGATGGGGAAGGGATTTTAGTTGGGACTTAAAGGAAGCTGGGGACATAAGTGACATAAGAGGTAGAAGAAAAGGAAAAGTCAATAACAGGAAGCTTTCAAGTATGGAAGATAGGGTCAACGGTGACACAACTGACAGAAACGGTGAAGCCAGAAGAAGTCGGTTTATGGGGGAAATCCCACCCTCGAGCTCTGAGCTCTGGATTCTAGTCCTGGCTCATTCCTCATCCCCCAACTAGTTACAAGAGTTCGTCCAGTGCAGTGAGGTGGCGCAGTGGATAGAATACTGGCCCTGGAGTCAGGAGGACTCGAGTTCAAATTCAGCCTCAGACACATAACACTCACTAGTTGTGTGACTCTGGGCAAGTCACTTAACCCCAACTGCCTAACCAAAAAAAAAAAAAAGTTCATACAAATCACCTCACCTTTCTGGGCTCCTGTTGTCTCATATGTAAAATAAGGATAATAATATCCAATGGACTGACTTTACTGGACTGTGTAAATAATGGATGAGAAACTCTGAGGCATTATTTATCTATAAAGTATTAAGGTAATTTATCCATGATTATAGCAAGGTCTCTATCGTGGTGTCCCAGGGATCTGACTATGGACAGGTACCATTTAACATTTTTATCAATGACCCGGAGAAAGACAGCATGCTTATTAAATCGGAGGATGATACAAAGCTGGGATGAAAACTGACAGGTTAGAATGACAGTGAGGCCCAAAATAAAAAAAAAAAGATTTTGACAGGCCAAATCTAACAAAAATTTAATAGGATAAATTTTTAATGCAAGTCTTATTCATGGATTTAAAAAATAAAGTTACAAGTTCAAGACGGAGGAGGAATGGCTAGACAGCAAAAAATATCTGAGGGGTTTAGTGAAGTGCAAATTCAGTATGAGTCAACAGTATGATAACAGTATTCAAAAGAGAAAATTCCAACTTAGGCTGCATTAGGAAACAAGAAGGGCAGGTAATAATTCCACTATAATCTGCCCTGGCCAGACTATCTCTTAATTACCATCTTCAATTCAGGGCATCATATTTTAGGAATTACACTGACAAGCTGGTAAATGTCCAAAGGAGGGCAACAAGGGTGGCAAAGGGCTATGACTTCTTGCCTCATGAGATCAGATGTGAGAACTGGAGATATTTGGGAGTGTCAAGGGAGAGGAGGAATTTGACAACTCTTTGCAAGTCTCTGAAGGGCTGCCATGTGCAAGAGTGATCAGACTTTTCCGTTTAATCACAGAACACAGAACAGACAAGTCCAGGCTGTCCCAAAGTGAAATGGGCTACCTCAGATCACTAGAGGTATTTAAGCAAAAATCAGATGACCATTTGCCAGATACAGTACAGATGGGATTCTTGGTCAAATACAGGTTGAACTAGAAGGCCTCTGAGACTCTTTTCAACTCTGAGACCCTGTAATTATATCTCCCAAAGCACCTAGCTCAGTACATATTTTCGATTTTTCATCTTTTCTAATTGTTCCCTATTGTCACTTTTGGATAACCTATCATTATGTTGTTCAGCTGTGTCTGACTCTTCGTGACTCCATTTGGGGTTTTCTTGCAAAGATACTGGAATGGTTTGCCATTTCCTTCTCCAGCTCATTTTACAGATGAGGAAACTGAGGCAAACATAGTGAAGTGACTTGCCCAGGGTCACACAGCTAGTGTCAGAGGCCAGATTTGAACTTAGGAAGATGAGATTTCCTGTCCATTCATTGTGCTGTTTAGCTGCCCTTAACTTATAATAGGGCAGCTCAAAGGCTTTTTTTCTGGCTACCAATACATAATAATAAAGGCAGGAATTTGGAACAAAGGATTGAGGTGGACTATAAAAGCCTGCATAAAGCAGCATGGTGACTCGATCAGGCACGGGCCTTAGAAGACTTAGGTCCAAATACCGTCTATAACTAAAGAGCTAACAGTCTGACCTTATCCAGGAGAGACTTTCTAGTCATTACATTTTAGAGGACTGGAGGCAAGATGGCCTGCAGGTACCTTGGAAAAACGAAGCCCAGAAGCCTGGCAGCTCTGAGACCAGCAGAGACATGCAACCATTAACCAGCACAACACTGTCCAGCAGCCACCAAGTAAGACTAATAGAGAATAATGCTTGGCAGAGACAATACACTATATGAGACCAAGAGAATAAATATGGTGACACCACTAGCAGACATTGGTGGCATCTTTGGTGGAAGTTGTCCCTCCACATGTGTTCCCTATGAGCCTGCCCTTCTACACCTGTTCCCAAAGTGTTTCTACTCTTCCCACTGCTGGTATGTATTTTCGAGATAACATGTCCCTAGTTTATGGGAGGAAAGTGTTGTATTGCTACTTTCCTTACCATGATGTTTCATTAAGTGCCTTTGCTTTGAACCAACTGCATTTTATCTTTGACCACTAAAAGATCCCACGTACAAGACAGAAGTAGCCCAAATACTACCTTTAAGTTGTCTGAGGTATAGGATCTGTCTTCTTATATCTATGAGAAAGCTAGGTGGCGTATTAGATAGAGTGCTGGGCCTGGAGTCAGGAAGACCTCATCGAGTTCAAATCTGACTTTAGACATTTCCTAGCTGTGTGACCCTGGGCAAGTCACAACTTCTGTTCAACTAAAATTTCCTTAACTGTAAAATGGGATAATAAAAGCACCTATTTGCAGGGTTGTTGTGAGGAGCAAATGGGATATTTGTAAAGCACTTAGTACTGTGTCTGGCCCATAGTAAGTGCTATATAAATTCTAGCTATTATTGTTATTGTTGTCATTGTTGTTATTATTATTATCTTCCCCACCATGTCTTGCCTGGGCTAGGCACATAGGAAACCACCAATAAAGATCTAACGGGTTGATTGCTACCCTTCAGGTCTTACCTTGGCCTGATGGAAATTCAGGGTACTTGTCTCTAGGAAGGAAGTTGCAGTAAGCTATCTGGTGACTGAAGTCTGGGCCGGGAACCCTGGCCACCGTGTGGATGCCATTCCCATAGTCACAGGCCATCTCCATCCCACTCAAACTGGGTATGTTGCCGCTGATTTGGATGATCATACCCTGGAAATACATGTGGCCAACGGGTGAATAGTGACCTCCTCCCTTCCTTTCCCCAGCTTTCCAGTTCACTGGCCTCCCCCTTCTCTGGAAGGGGGCCCCCTAAGACAAGCTCTGGGGAACTAGGGACATCAGATGGATGAGGGGAGGGTGGCTTTGATGGTGAAAAGGTGAAACATTTTTCTCCTTACTTCCATTATTCCCAATCAATAAACATTTATTAAGTGCCTATGATGTACCAAGCACATGATGTACTAAATGCTGGGAATACAAAAAGAGGTGAAAGATAGTCCCTTCTCTTCAGAAGCTCACAAACAGTGGGACTGTCCCCTTCTCACTAATCCCTCTACTAGGAGAGAAATCCATCACTCCAAGGTCTTCATCTAATTCATTCTTCTGAAGCACAAGCCGGCCGGCTCTCCTTGAGCCTCAGACTGTGCTCTTTCAAATGGTCAGCAGGAGATGGTCTCTGGCACAGTCAATGTGGATTCAAAAGACCTAGATTCTAGTCCTGGCCTCTCTGTGACCTTGGATAAATCATTTCATTTCTCTGTGCCTCAGTTTCCTCCTCTGTAAAGCAGGGATAATAAAACATGTCCTGCCTACCTCATAGGACTCACTATAGACTTGGGGTCCAAATAAGGCAAGAATGCTGGCAACCCCAAACCAAGGCTAAAAAAAAATTTCTCCTTCTGAACTACAAAAAGGGACCTCTACAGAACAATTGAGTTTGTAATGCAGCCCCAAATCAAGCATCAGAATACACCTGTGGGTACTTTGACCAATAACAAAAGTGTCTTCATTTCCCAAGGGACTAGCCTGGGTTCATGTATCAGGTAGAGGATTGGATAAAATGACCACTAAGGTCCCACCCAACTCCAAGATCCTAGGACACACAATGTATATAGTAGACTTGGAGTCAGCAAAGACCTGGGTCAGATGCTGCCACCATCATTTACTAGCTCTGTGACCATGGGTAAGTCCCTCCCGTTCTCAGTCAGTCAGTCAATATACACTTAAGTGCCTACTATGTGCCAGGCACTAAGAGGATAACAAAGA